ATTTTTAAAATTCCAAAGCACAAAAATAGTCAACATGATGGCAAATTTAATTCCGATGGATGGAGAATACCAAAAGTCAAAAAATTACACACTGCACATTTCTTATAAATCAGTATTTCAGATAAGGCTACAACATGGAATTTTAAATTTTTTTTTTTAAGATTAGATTTTTATGATACTAGTGATATTCTTCATAATACAATCCTTTTATGCAAGCAAACTAATAATCAGTTGTTTTAACTTCAACTCACTGAACTGAAACATTTACTAACTTGTCTGTAACAAGTATCCTTATTACCAACCTTCATCAAGAAACCCTCAGATAACAAACAACTCCTTTTTCCTTAGCCTAAACACTGGATAGGCTAAGAAACTACCGTGGGGAATTTCCACAATTACTTGCTTATGAACTGTGTCACTTCCAGATTTTGCATGAGATGCATTTCTAAGCACAAACACTACCCCCTCTCCCAAAAAACACATAAAATCTGAGCTTCTCTTTTCATTCAATCTGAAGTCATTACTGAAGAACCACGTTTTTTAACATGTTTGATTTCTAGAAAGTAATCCACATTTGGGATATACATCATATATGAATGTTATTTTCTTAAACTGAAAATTGGATTTTGGTGTTGCTATTCAGTTATCTGCCATCACTTTAATCAACACTGGTTGATTACCACCAAAAATCACTTTATTCATACAGGAAAACATAATTGGTTTAGGAGTGTATATAAAGGCAGAAGGGTAATAAATTAACATTCTTATGCAAATTGCACTCAATATTAAGCTGTAGGTTTTGTTGTTTTCAATCTGTAATCACATGAATGACTATACACCTTAGAAGTGCCAGAAATATGATGTTAAAAAAAAAAAAAAAAAAAAATCAACAAAGTCACACAAGCAATGCTAGGCAATGCTATCTTAAATGACAAATGTGTCTCTTCCCACTCCCTCAGCAGACACATGCAGGAATCACAATGTGGGAACTCTGTCTTTGGTGCCGAGATCGGTGCAGAGATCGTTAGTGGCCATGACAGGAGGGCTCATTCTGAAGTCATGCTGGGAATACACTGGTGATACTTCTCAGCTATATAAGGAGGTAGCAGGTGGTGAGAAAGGAGAAATTTCGAAGTTAATATATTTACAGGCAATCATTCATCTACTTGTAATTGCTTGGAGGTTCCCTCAAATTTAAAAATTGGGGATGAAGTTTGCTGCAACAAAGTCATAAACAAGTAAGCCTGATGGCACCACTATATTCATCCAGAGCTAATAATTTGTTTCCTGAGATGTCAGTCTGGAACCTTTCACCTTTACTAAATTCATGTTTTAAGAAGTGCTTACAAAAATGGGAGGAAATTGTTAAAGGCATAGGATGACTTAGTTCAGCATGACAATACAGCACAGGGGCCTATCTTAGAAAAAATAACCACACACAAAACAAAACAGACAAACACACAACTCTGCAGTTAAGCAGACAGTGATTATGTTGATGCGATATACTCAATTACTTAACTGCCAGGGGGCCTAATGTTGCTCACACAGCAAGAAGCAAAATTACATGTTAATAAAATGATTGGAATATTCAATATACCTCTTGATATCTCATGGCCTACAATTTTTTTTTTTTTAGATGTTCATTTAACAGCAACACAAGATCTGTTTGAATAGCCAAAAGACAAATTCAGGGAAATAATAAAATAAGGGAGGTTTTTGGCCAAAGAGCTGCAATAACAATTCACAGTTAAAAAAAGATACGACAAACAAGGTCAGAGCTAAACAGCCAGATATCATCATTATGCTTTTAGCTCAGCAATAATTTTTGCCACATAATTTAAGATGCCAAAACCATGCTACGGTATTTGTCAATTATGTACTGGCAAGCCATTATACAAGTTGGATGTAAAAATACAGTCAGACCTTAAATCAAAAATCCCAGAGTATTTCTGATAAATCAACAGAAGTTGTGCTTTAACATACATATATCTGAATGTTACCGAGAACTATAGTGGTTTTCTTCCTGTTGCTGATTTTATTGACATAGGGCAGAACACTCTGGATTTACAGTGACACTGTAGATCCCACTGCATAAGGGTTTGTGATATGGAAAAGAACTCTTTTACATCCAGATTTGTAAGAGGTTGGGTTTTTTAAATGTTTTTTTTTTTTTTTTAAGTAACACAGAACCAAACTTCAGAGAGTCACTGACTTGGAACAGAAAGTGAAACAAACACAGCAAAGATTTTTTGACCCAACCCCCCATCTCCCATGCTTCAGTCTAAATCTATAACCTAATTCATGGGTATATTTTAATATGAAACAGTGATAGCTGCTACAAAAATGCCAGTAGGAAAACGACCATCGCCTCTGAGACAGTTGCTGATCTTACATCAAGGTCTATGCCATCCTGAAACTCTGTAAAGAATGTCTGCGATTCACCAGAATACCAGCTACCCACTTATCAAAAAAAAAAAAAAATCTACAGATTAAGTCAAAATAAAGACTACATATCTTCTCTTTACAAGCATACTTTGAAAGACATCTAAAAATCCGTATTTCGCAGGATTAATTAATAAATCATTGCTACACTAAGTCAGGATTCTTACGAGATGGTACTTGCATAGACCCACATCAACTATTTAAGGAAGCAATACTGCTATTTTTGTCAGACTGCCCTCAAACATTTTCACACCATCTTTCACAATAAAAATTCAATCCTAATGGCAGTGACTGGGCTCTACTACATCCTAAAAGATAATGACAAGATCACTGCAGACAGCTTTTACTCAAATACACTGAGATTCAAAATAAAAACAACAAAAAAACAAAACCCAAAATGCAATTAGAAGCAAACATAGTATATGGATCCTTGATGCACCTGTTTCAGGATGCAGAAAAAGTCTTTTTAATAATAGATTGTCTATCTACAATGCTTCTTTTTTAATGATTTAGCTATTGAATACTTATACACAGAAGTAACTTACTATGTTGCTGAATAAATTTTTATGCTACTACAGGGAAAAAGAGCTATTATTTCATGGAACTCATTTTTATTTTAATCTTGTGCTTCAATTATGAAATAACTAACACACTTTTACATATCCCTATTCTGCACTGCACATAAGGATGCATCACGTGTCAGGAAAAAAAGATAATGACCCACAAATCACTATCAGGCTTGGTACTGGATACAGAAATTGCATTTTAAAAATCAGTCCTTCACAAATTCTACACACTATACAACCTATCATATCACAGAAGAACGAGTACACAATTATTTAACCCTCTGCACAAATGCAGCCCACAACAAAGAGCAACAGAATGAGTATTTAATAGACCGGGAGTACAGGATTGTCAGAGATGGATAAGGTACCACAAAAGACAGCCTCATATTCAAAACAATAAGCCAGCTATTCATAACCCATGGGGAAAGAAAAGCCCCAAAACAAAGCAAAAAAATCCCATGGAATTAATGCACCCCAATGACATTTTGGAAAGCCACTACTACTTGTGAACAAAAGATGCTAGACCTCTCATTAATATTTTGTTCTAGCACATTACTCAAGATGATCCATTTTCAGCAACTATTTTTCAGCAGCAGATAAATCCAGAAGTACATCAGAAATGAGACAAAATATAACAGAACCGCCATGGAAAACGTAGTTTTGTTTTCTAGGAAAGCTACAGAAAAATGTCTCCGAGTTTACCTCACCTAAAAGCCTGGGTAAATCCAGGCTCACACTCATGATAGCTAAGCATTTATCAACACAGTGAATACATTAAGCTCTGACATGCACACTGCTAGATGCGCACACATCCCTCGCACCCGCACTTGTAACCATCTTCCTGCTGAGCTGGGAAGAAGGACCGATCGGAATACCCCAGGTAATAAAGGTTCACTGTATGCGATTTGACACCCCCGAAGGTACAAACCAAACACAGCACGGAGCTCTTATACCCCAAAGCGCGAACTAAATAGCTCCCCCCTCATCTTTCACACCCTCTTCCAGGCACCGTTGTGCATGCACACGAATTGCAAGTCCTCCTCCTTGTGACACGTCCAGATGGACGGACAGAACACAGCGCCTGCCCCCCCTGGGAATGCCCCCCCCCCCCCCCCGCCTTGCACACACAGGGAGCACAATAACCCTCCCGCAGCGGCAGCTCTCCGCGCAGGCGCAGGCTGCTGGGGGGTACCCTCGCCCCTTGCACCCCCCCTCCTCATGCAGGAGCACCCCTGCCTTTGCAAGCACACAGTCGAAAGAAGGTTCCCCCTCCGGGTGCACAGCCCGCCATCGATTACCCGCGGAGCAGGAACGCTCCCCTCGTAAGCGCACACAGCAGAAGCGATTCCCCCCCCCCCCCCTCAATGCACGCAGAAGGGGAGCACCCCACCACCGCACACCCCACATCCTCCAGCCCTCCCCGCCCCACTGCGTTCAGGGGGAGCCCCCTCATTGTCCTGCCTCCCCTACCCCCCCAAACGCGGAGCCTCCCCACTACCCCCCGTTGCCCTCACACAGCGAGGGCCCCTACTCCTCCCCACCGCCACCACAGCAGCCCCCCCCCACACACACGCACACGCTCCGAGATCCCCGCTGCCACCACAGCGGCGGCCCCTCAGGACCTCTCCCGATTGCCACCACAGCATAGCCCTCCCTCTGCTCTCCCCAGCTGCCATCACAGCGGATCCTCCCTCCGCACCCCCCGCCCCCCCGGGTACCCCCTATCCCCTCAAGGCCACCAGAGCAGCCCACTCCCACGCCACACCCCCCGCAGCTCTCTTTTGCCACCCCAGGACACCCCTTCGCTCTACTCCCTCCACTGCCACCCCAGCAGGGCCCCCGCAATCCCCCCCACCCACTGCCCGCCCTCAACTACTGCCACAGCGGGTACGCCTCCCCGCCCTCACAGCCCGGCCCCCCATTACCCCCTCGGCAGGAGGCCCCGGCCCCCCTTTCACAGCCGGAGCCCCCCCCCCCACACACACACACTACCTGCTTGCGTGGTGTCGCTGAGGTCGTAGCCGCTGCCGGGGAAGTCGCGCAGTTTCCTCCCGCTGAGGCAGAGGATGCCCGAACTGCCCGCCTCCTCCAGGGCCCGGTCCAGGCTGCGCACCGTGTGCGGCTGCGGCAGCGTCGCCGCCCCCCAGTGCGGTCCGACCGAGAAGGAGAGAGTGAGGTGAGCGGGGATGCCCAAGCCCCCCACCCCGCCGCCGTTGCCGCCGCCGTTGCCGCCGCCGCCGCCGCCTCCCCCCTGCCCAGCCGCCATCTTCCCGCGGCGCAGACCAAGCCCCACAATAACAACAGCCGGGGCCGCCACGCCACCAGTGCGCAGGCGCCGCCGAGCCCGCAGGGGCTGAGGGAGGGGGGAACGGGGGGAACGGAGAGGGGGGAGAAGGCGGGGCCGCCGGCGCTGGGGGGCGTGGCTTCGGCTGGGCCTGCCGCCCGCCCTCGCCAATCCCGTGGCGGCGCGGAGCGAAGGGGCGTGGCTCCCCGCTCCCTCACCAATCGGCGGCGGCGCGGAGCGGAGGGGGGGGGGGGGGTGTGGTTTCCCCGAGGCCGTGCTGGCCCGGTGAGGGGCGGGAGGTGGCGCGTGGCTGGGCGGGCGGCGGGAAGGCGGCGGGACGGCGGAGGCCGATGGGCCGCGGCGGGAGCGGGGCCGGGACGTCCCGCCGAACAGCGGCGAGCAGGGCCTGGCGGGGAGCCTGGGAGCGGGGCGCCTCTCGCAGCCGGGCGGGGAGCGGGTCCCCGTGTTTCGGGAGAACGCAGCTGCGGGAGTAGGGGGTGGGTGTGGGGGTGTGCTCAGGGCGGGGGCCGCCCGGCAAAACAGAGGCGACGTTGATGTGACAGGAAAAAATAACTGCTCGGCACCCCCAGCGCCGGTGAAACGGCATCCCATCCCATCCCGGAGCAGCCTTGCCTGGCGGCGGCATGGCAAATGGGCGATTTTCACTCCAGTGAGCCGTCCGGCGGTGTTCGGGTTTACTGTCGTATCTATGGCAACACAGATTATCGATTGCGCCTCGGGTTAAAAAGCCGCCTAAGGCAGATGCCTCAGAGCATCGCCTCTGTGCTGAAAGCTAATAACGAGCGGTGCCTGCCAATAACTGCAGATCCTCGTTAGTGGCATGAAAAAAAAAAAAAAAAAATTCAGTGAGGAATCTTCCGTAGCAGAACAAAGGGGGGTAGGAGTAAGGTTGTCACCCTAAAATAGGTTAAGAAACATCCACAAAAGCTTCAAAGATACTGATACTCGGAATGTCGAAGGAGAGTGGTGAAACACAAATCAGAAGCTGGCTGCGGTGTCCAAGGCCCCATTATATTAATAAAACGCCACACAATTGCTGGAATATTGGATGGATGAATAATTACTGCCATGTAATCTACTTGTTAGGTGCCAGTATGTATCTATCAAAAATTACTCGGGAGCCATGATTAAGAAATACTAAAGAAAGGCTCACAGACCCATATTTTAATGCAATTGCTGTGGGTTTGATAAGGAGAATCTGCCTTTATGCTTTGATCCTCCTGAAGGTCCTTAAATGGATATTTTTTTCTGCATGCATGCATGCATCATGACTAATTTGGGGATCTAAGGGAAATTCCTTCTATAAGCAGTATGGAAGAGACTAGCCTTCAGTCAGCAATATGCCAGTGAGAGACAGCTGAACCATTATTAGTCAGAAGAGGAACAGCCCTGTAGTATCCTGTGCGTGATATCAGGCTGAAATTCAATAGAACCAAATTAGCCAGGATCAGTATGAAGGTGCTGAAGAGTGAAGGGTCTAATCCTTTGGAGCAGTACTGTACGGACTTTGGGATCACTGTGTCATTGCAAATAGACTGGCTTTCCAGCAAAAGCGGCCTATGTGCAAAATGCATGTGTGGTGGGGGAAGGGCTCCCATTGTCACCTGCAAATATTGTGGCTGTCTGCCTCATTTAACCTTATCTGTGGACACTTTTGTGAGCTGCAAGATTAAAGTCTACAGATTGATATCATCAGTCTGCCTGGGCCAGAGCCTCTGCTCTTGTCCTTAAAAAGCTAATTGTTCCCTGGATTCACAGCAGGAAAATCAGACAAACCTGTATAAACACTGCCGACTGCTGCCCTCAGTCAAGCTTCCAGCCAGAGAGGGTGGAGGTTGAATAAACTCACAGACTACGTTGAGCCAAGAGCGTGTGATGATTTTGCCTGCAGACGTGGAGCGGGAGGTACAGTGGCTCTGCAGATGTCAGGAGTGAAGCAGAGCAGCAGCCAGGACCAGCTCTGCTAACTAAATGTTACTAAATGCTAGAAATAGTTGCTCAGAGTCCACAGAGGGAGCGGCTTGATACAGGGCCAGCTCAGAGATGTTGCTTTGCTACCCTCCCTTTAAACCACATCACACAGTCTCTTACTATTTAGAGCCTAACTGATCTCTGGGACATTAGACAGAGAAAACGGTTCAGCTCACTTTGTAAGAAATAGGTCTGACAAATTGTCAGAGGACTCAAAACACCATTTAATCATGCTGGCGTTCTCACGTATGAGGGGCCTTTTTATCTTTAACAAAATACTGTGTCTGCAGGTGTTCCTCCTGAGTAGCAAACAAAGCATGCTCAGTCTGCTCAGGCACACGCTCACATCTTCAAATGCATTAAAATGTCCAATACAATAGGCTAGAAGCAGTGTATGAGACTTTATCTAACAGCTAACCAAAATCCCTCATTTGCAAACTGTCTTGAGCAAATTGCTGCTTACTCAGGCAAAAGCTTGGGAATTGATTGCATGTTCCAATGATATAGCTACAGGCAGATTTACCTGTGGGGGTCATTTATCACCTCAAATAGCTGCACAATCCGAACAGATGTCTGGAATGCTAAAGTCTAATTAATTTTTTTTATACTGTATTTCACAGCCTTTCAACAGTTCTTTCTCTCCACGCCCTCCACTGCCCTTTCTTTTTCATTTCACAGGCAAAACCAGAGTCTAGTGACAGAAGGCTCCCAAAACCAACCTTCTTGTCACAAGGAGTAGTAAGTCATAGCTGTGCCATCCCTCAGTTTCTTCTATAAAACAGTTTCTTCTATGAAACAGAGATGATGGCATTTTCTTATTTATTAGGACAGTAAAGATGAATACAGGAAGAGGTGGAAACACTCAGGTGTTTTATGAGACTGCATAAAACAAACATATTTTTTGCTGCCACACCACAGACAGAGTCTTATGTTTCAGGAGTCTGAAAACCACTGAAAATCCCCCGCTTCCATGAAGAGCTTCCACTTTGAAAGTCTGTGGTTACCCCACATCCGGTCTAGATGAGATAAAAACTCATAAAGATATGACATCAACAAACTTTAAGAGGTAATGTTAGTGCCTAGAGGAATGAGATCTAGATAGGGCTTTGATCTAGCTAACTTGCAACATGGATTGCAAGATGTGCTTCCTCACAAGTCCCTGGCATGGTTAGCCCAAGCCACGCTCAGAGCAAACGCGGGAGCTACGTGCCCTTCCCGCTGCTCTGCCTGTGCTGCCCCCCACATCTCTTCTGACCCCTGGCTCCAAATCCCCCCAGAGCACTGCCTTCTGGAGAGAGCCAGGCAGGCTTCATCTGTACTAGAAATGTCAGAATAAGATAGATTATGAGAGTAGGGAAAGCGAGAGTGGAGCCCCTTATCTCTCCTGTACCTTCATGATTCTCCAGAGTACAGTGCAGGCTATGTCCCAGGGCAGGTCAGTGCACGTGGTCAGAACATCAAAGCACAGTAACAAAGCCAAGATGCTGCCTGGGCTGTTGTGTGCTGCAATGCTCCCTCCACACCTCTGCCGGACTTGCAGGCCTCTGCCAGGCAACGCAAGCTCTGGGCACCTAAGGCCAAGCAATGGGGATTGCTGAGAGCAGAGACACCCCGGAAGCTTTCAGTGTTCCTGAACTAAATACTTGAGCTGAATACAAAGCAGATCTTTGTCAGTCTACACTGCTGTTTGCTGTGAGAAATTAAATCCTCCTGAGATGTCAGCACTGACCTTTTTTTGCATCCTTTAAAGACTTTTTTGCTTTAAGCAATTAAACACCAGAGCTTTCATAATGTTCTTACTATGCTTCTGTATGAGTAGCCTCAGTCCTCCTACATGTGTGAGGTACTGAGATAACACATTCACTGTTATTTCAGCACTCACATGATCCTTGTGCCATCTCCTTGATTACTCTTCAATTCCTTCTCACTTAGTTTGCGTATCAGTGCATGCTCTATTCCTAATTGATACTGCTTTTCTTCTTCAAGACCTGCAAGTGTCCACAGCTTCCCACAGGGAGTTAAAATAATCTCCAAATAACAGGATTCCGGATTCTTACCAAAATGGCATCATCTGGCCCACTGTGAAAGCAAAGCAAGCAAACCATACGTTCCTACTTAGATCAAAAGGCAAATGCCACGCTGTCTGTGCTAAAGGATAGTGATTTATCTGAAACACCATTTCGAAAAAGCTAGAAATAGCTCAAAATACTTCAGCATCTGATGCTTGAATAGAAAAGAAACAAGCGAGATTCCGTCTAGCTGCTTTGGTGAGCAGTATCTTTTTGTACAGACCAGAATAAGACAGTAGATCCATTAATGAGAAGATTCCTGGTACCTTTTCCATTGGGAGCATCTGATTAGTTGTACAACTAGCAAATCTTCACTGAGTATTAGAAAATGCATTACTGAAGGCAGGGGGGAGGGCAGCTTCTACCCTCAAAGATGCCATTTCACATACCACCTACTCCAATTACATGCACTGGAAATACCTCCTCAAGGTGCTGCAGAAGCCTTTATCCTTAACTGATCATTCTAGTGTGATTTCTAACAGGATTTTTCCTTTTATTCTATTTTGGATAACTTGTTTGCTGTGCAGTAGCATACTTCCCTTGCTTGTTTCTTGGTAGAATTAGAAATGCAGCCATTTCAGTGAAGGCTTACTTTAACACTGAGAGACCCTGAGAAGCAACATGAACTAAAACTACTCCTACATTGCAATCAGAAGCACAGCGGCGTGGTGTATCTGTGTATCTCAGTTTACTGGGGTGTAGCTAGGCTGGCTACAGATTGCACTGAAGCTACCAACTCCCCTGTCATCCTGCACACGTGTGTGTTGAGTCCAAGCCCGTGCCATTGCAATTATCTTTTATCAAGTATGCCACACATTTCACAAGCCACATCTCTGATACACAACAGACAGCCTAAGATAAGAAGTACCAGTTGTCACCTTGTCCTGGATAACTTCGAACAGGATGATCAATTGTATTATGCTTTAATACAAATGTTAAATCATTCTGCAGCTCTCCAGATGTAGACATGCATTTTTATGAGATGACTTTAAGGATGTTCTGCATAGACCAGAGGTATAGCTAATGGGTATTGTAAGAGTAGTTTTGCATGTACCAGGCTGAGATCTCAATTTTTATATACATACAGAGAGAGAGAGGAAAAAAACAAAACAAAACAAAACAAACAACAAAGAAAACCCAAACAACTAACAACAACACTTCTCTAAATACCTCGTAGTCTTACAGTATACAGGCTGCATCTGATAAATGTGTAAGAAGCAAATAATAGAATTTGTCATTAACTGTTAACAGGAAGTGGCTGACCTGTCAGTGAACTGTTGTTTTCACTGAGCTGAACAAAATTGCATGTGCACCTTAGCCACTTTGTTGCACCCAGTCAGAACTTCTAGATAAAACCGAAGTATTGTGATCTATGTAGCTCCCATTCTGGGAATGGGTAATGTAGAGAAATACTGATGTAAACTGGAGTTTCCTTTTCTCAAAAAGCCCGAAGAGCACATTTGTTCTCTTCCATCTTCTCATGAAGACGATTTTCAAGTAGCAACATATGGTTAAAAGGCCATGTTCAGCACCTAACAATAAAACATAAGCTCTTCGGTGGTGGTGCAGCAATTTCGGAGCAAGCTAAGGAAGCTGTACTGCTACCAGTGTTCCTCATTAGGAGCTGAGGATTATGTTCCTGTAGTTCTCACCAATTAAAAGGCCTAAACACCCCCCCTTGTGGACAAAATACAAAACATCACAGAAGTGATCCGATTTTTGGCCCATTGAGATAAGCAATTGTTCATGCTTTGAGCAATTCTGATAATAGGGTGGAGTGCTTCCACACCCACAGATACCAATGTATGCCTGCAGATGCTAAACATTTCCTTGACATGTATTCCTACAGTGACTCAGGCTTACTTCCCAAGAAAAAGCATTTATTTTCAATTGCATCATGTAGTTTTGGGTTCATTTCACTGAAAGTGAACAGTCAATTTTTGTAATTTTGTATTAAATAACTGTGATATGAGATATCACTAGGAACAACGTAAAAAGGGGTCAGCATTGATTTTAAGATACCTATTTTTATATCACAGCATAAGATTTATTGCAACAACAAACATCACAAGTTATTTAACATGCAGAAGATTCACGAAATCTACTAAAAGACTGAGAAAACATTTCAGATAATACAAGTGTTTGAATGCTGGCATGTGTTCCCTTCTCCCACTGAGTTCTATTTTTATTTGTTTTTAGCTTAAAGCCTTCTAAAGTTCCTTGGGGTTTGATTATGTGAGAAGAAGAACACCTGATAAATTGAAAGGCTCAGTGCCGCAAAATAACACTTGTTCCTTGTTCTTTGTGAAAAAGTTCATTATGCATGTGCCTTCCAGGGAAGGAATACCAGGCACCTTCAGCAGAGGTGCACCAGTTTTCTTTGAGGGTTTAGCTTGATGGCTTGTTGTCAACAGTACCATTTAGTCAAGACCAGTTCCAGAGGAAAGCACAACAAAAGTCCTTTTTTCCCTTTGTTCCTTTGGTTTTTTCATTAAAAAAAAAAATCCCACTTTACCTTTTAGAAAGTCACATTACTGACATTCCTTTCTTAGGATGCAGGGTCAAGTCTGTCTGTCAGACACCTGCAGTCTGCTCCAGTGCAGGGGGATTGTGCTTTGGAGGAGGTTCTTGCTCTTAAGGCCTTTTCAGCAACTCTAGCATGTGTCACCTGCACTGTTAATGTGAGAAATTACTCAGAACTGAGTTAATGGCAGTGCTCAGACATACTGAGCAAATGGGACACTTGCCAAGACCTTAAGAGGTCACACACTGGCAGTTGAGAGATAACAGAGTGCATATCAGCCCTTGCTTCCCAGATGCAGAAATATGGCTTGGAAAGCATTATCACTGCCTTCAAAGCTATGTGCTTAGAGAAAAGCAGATAATGAAACCTCTCACCTGGTGATGTGGAATTTGCTGCAAAAGCGATAAAGTATGTAGTTCAATAAAAAAGCTGTCATTTGAAAATACCAACTATTTTAGAAATTGGTCTCCATATTTCTAAACTCTGCCTTTGTCTTTTTTGGTCTCAGATGGTTGTTTCACTAAACACAATCAAATGGAAACACTATTGGAAATCTCTCAGCTGTTGCTCTCAGATTTTCTGGAGATACCAGTATGTATGATTCTGCAAAAAGCCACAAAACCTTTCATTACAGTGTCCTCACAGTGGGACCGGCTTCAACGCCTTCCCAGTGCGGAAGCCGGGGTCATTCACCGAAAGAGCCTGCAGCCCCCCTGCAGCCCTTCCCTTGGGGCTCCCACCTCCCCAGCTCCAGGACACCTCCCAGAGCCCTTCACCAACCCTCTCACCAGGTGCTAGAAGAGGGTACTGCTGTAGATCTCCTCTCCCTGTCCGTAGCTGAATGCTTGGCTTATACTTTCCAGCTCCTTCCCGGCAGCTGCAGCTTCCCTGGCTGCTCTGACTAAATTGCTGGGAAATTTTAATGATTCCCTGACTGAAGGAAATGATTCCCTAGTGATTGAAGGAAAGCTCTTGGACTAGGGGAGCATTAGAACCAGGGCTCCCCAAAGAGCAGCAGCCCTCCCAGGACACCTTGCGTATCACAGAAAATTGCAGACAGGGTATCATGACCGCCATTCCTAACATTTCACATTAAAATGCTTTAATGATCATCCTGCAGTGCCATCACAAATGATGGCTAAGCTTATTTGTTGCTCTCTCAACACTGTTCTGTGCTTTCCTTTCATGAAAGAACAGTTCCCTAAATCAACACTTTCAGAAGCACTTAATCTTGCTAAGAGCTATACACATACCAGGAGGCAATCTTTGCCCTGATTTATTTTCATGTAGAAATTTTTCTGCCATTTAAAGTGCAAGCTGGAAAAAAGACACTGTCTTTACAACACAATAAACTGTCTTGAAAAAAACAGAACATGCAGACTTTGTTCTGAGATTTATGTGGCCTTTATTATGTATGGAATGTAGAAGATTATTTCAGATAATTTATTATATAGGAACTTCAGGAAAAAAAACATGCTATTCACCTCAGGTACAGTAGCCTTTTGGAAGAGGAGTGATAGTTCTCCCACTTCTCCTCCATGTTGTTTGGGTTTTGTTATTGTTGTTGTTGTTGTTTTTCACCTGGCTTTAAAAGTAGAGGAAGATGTTCTAGATCACATTTTGTATTCACACGATAGAACAGCACCAGTGCCACAACCAGTGTGACACAGATTCTTCTGCTGAAGAATCTGACTTCTGCGGGTGATCAGGACAGTGCTGAAAGACCAATCCCAAATGGATGCTTCCTCCTCAGGAAGCTCACAAATGCAAACAACAGGCTTCATGCCTGAGTACAAGCCGAGAGGGCCTCCGTTTGTAAAGTTGCCTTGTTTTTCTAGTCTTCAGAATGAGGAGAGGCCATTCCTTCTTTTACATCGCTCAGAAATGACTGATGAGTTTGTAAGATATGTCTGCACCTGACATAAACACCAGAGGAGAAGGATTCGGGCTGGAGAAGAGAAGTGTTAGCACAGAGGCTGGGGAATGGCGCTTGGGAGAGAGCTAGAGGGGAAGAGCTGATGGGAAGGATCCGCCAAGGACAACTGCTGGGGTGCGGAAGGGCTGACAGCCGGGGCAGGGCTGAGCAGAGTGCCCTGCTGGCTGGAGAGGGGGGGCTGGGGGTGCCTGCGGAGCAAGCCTGGGGGGTGCTGGGGGGGAGGATGGTCAGCTTGCGGAGAGACGGGGGGGTGTCTGAGCACAGAGAGAGGGGTGCTGGGGTGGGGTGCCGGGGAGGGCTGGTCGGGGTTGGGTTCCAGGGTTGGGTGTCCGGGTTGGGTGCCAGGGTAGGCTGGCTGGGGTTGGGAGCCAAGGTGGGGGTGCCAGGGAAGGCTGAGTGAGGTTGGGAGCTGGGGTTGGGTGCTGGGGTTGGGTGCCACGGTGGGGGTGCCGGGGCAGGCTGGGTGAGGTTGGGAGCTGGGGTTGGGTGCTGGGGTTGGGTGCCGGGGCTGGGTGCCGGGGTTGGGTGCCGGGGTTGGGTGCTGGGGCTGGGTGCCAGGGTTGGGTGCTGGAGCTGGGTGCTGGGGTTGGGTGCTGGAGCTGGGTGCCGGGGTTGGGTGCTGGGGCTGGGTGCCGGGGTTGGGTGCCGGGGCTGGGTGCCGAGGCAGGGTGCCGAGGAGGGCTGGCCAGGGCAGGGTGCTGAGATTGAGTGCCAGGTAGGGCTGGCCAGGGTGGGGTGCCAGGGTTGGGTGCTGGTGGCGGTGCCGGGGCGGGGTGCCGGGGTTGGGTGCCGGGGTTGGGTGCCGGGGCTGGGTGCCGGGGTTGGGTGCCGGGGTTGGGTGCCGGGGCTGGGTGCCGGAGCTGGGTGCCGGGGCTGGGTGCCGGTGCCGGGGCTGGGTGCCGGGGTTGGGTGCCGGGGCTGGGTGCCGGTGCCGGGGTTGGGTGCCGGGGCTGGGTGCCGGTGCCGGGGCTGGGTGCCGGGGTTGGGGGCCGGGGTTGGGGGCCGGGGTTGGGGGCCGGGCCGGGCCGGGCCGGTGGCGGTGGCGGTGGCGGTGGCGGGGCGGGGACCGGCACATTCCGGGCAGGCGCACTGGGCGGCGCGGGGCGGGGGCGGCAGTGGCAGTGGCAGTGCGCGCTCGGCGGCCATGGAGGCGGCGGGGCCGCAGGCGGGCCCGGGCCCTGCGGCGGAGCCGCGGCCGGGAGCCGAGGAGATAGACATGTCCCTGGGTAGGTCCGGCGGGGCGGGGGTCCCTGCTCGGGCGGGGGAGGGGGGCGGCGGGGCCGGGGCCTGCGCGCTCGGGGGGGGGCGAGGGGCTGGTTTGTGGGTGAGGAGCGCGGGGTGGCCCCGCAGCGCTGGTGCCCCCCGGTAGCCCCGCACCCGGCCGCGGTGGAAGGGGGCCGGGTAGAAAAAGGTTAAGAAATAGCCAGGGATTGGGGGATTTGGGGGGTGGGAATGGCGGCTTCAAACCCATCTCGGTGCTTTGCTGGCAGCACCCCTTAATTTTGGGGGGGGGAGAGACTTAATCGCCGCGGGCTGGGAGAGTCTTACTTAAACGATTCCTCTGGTGAAATAAAGGTATGAGCCATACCCGCGGGTGCGCAGGCTATTTATAGCTGCTCGCTCGTGATGCTCGCCATTCCTCTGGCACTGGGTATGTGAACTGTGCATAAACAACTGCCCTTTTATCAGCTCCGAAGGCCTGGACTCCAACGTGTGGACGGTTGGTCTTGGTGGATTATCGTGTTGACATCTCTGCTGTGGAAGGAAAGTCCACCATCACCTTTTATTATTGAGTCAGCTTCCTAACCAAAACCTTGTGTCATTTCTTCCCAGCAATGAGCCACTTGTCAGGAATAGCAGAACATTTTCCACTGTAAACTTAGTTTGATCTCTTGGCTGACGCACCCTTATTTTAATGGTGCTATGAGGATTTACAGCAATAGCGGGTCCCTAATTTTTCATTTAGCCTTTTCCCATGGTGTCGCAGACCCTTTTTCTGTTTGCTGACATGCGATACTCCCTTTGCTTTTGCTCTCCCTTAGTGCTTCCCTTGATCTTGTGGTCCACCTCCAGATTCAATCCAGAATATACCTCACTCAGAGCAGAAGAGAGAATTGGAAGGCAAGAGCTCTGGTGAAGAACTGATACTTTTACTGTCAGGTGCTTGTTTCTGTGCTTTCAGATATGTTGGGCCTTACTTGAGTTAGCAGGTGGCAACTGCAGGAGTTATTGTAAAGCTGCCCTGATCTAATTCTGTCCTGAGGGCGTAAGGGTACCTTAAATGACCTCTTAGGATCCCTTCCAGCCTCACATAGTACTCCATTACACTGCTCTGTTAACCCTATCATATTTACAGGCACGAAAGACAGGGTCACAACACATACACAAAGAAAAAAAGAAACTGAAAGGTGACAGGATGAGCACCTGAGCATTCATCTCCTTTCCATTCCTAGCAAGCTCTACCTTGCACTGTAGATAACTCACCCGCGGGTGCCTGCGTCCATCTCCCTGCAGAGCAAGCAGGGATGCTGTCGATACGCTTCAAAGCAGCCTGTGCCCCAAATAGCACATGTCCCAAAGGCACACTTAGCTGAGAACATGAGCACATTCATACCAAGAACGTCGCCCAGCCTCTCCCCGCGTGCTCTCTTCCTGGCAGACTAGATACAGAAATCACAAAAGCAGTCACGCAGCCTATTCTTACATCTGCTCTTATTTGTTTTCCCTGGGGTTTGTATTAATTTGAACACAGGAGTTTCGTGATAGAAAATGACAGGAGGCAAGCGCTGGGGGTTTGATGTGCTGTTCCTGATAATCGCCCACTGAAAGCTAATGGCACTTATGTGCTTCCACTCCAGTGATTCGTTAAGGATCTGGAGTAGCCACTGCCTGGGAAAAGGCCTGCTCTGGACGCTTCTTTCCTTGATAATTTGTTAAAGTAAAGTTAAAACATTCTGCTTGGAGCTTAATAGATGTGGCTTTATTACTTGAGAAGTATTTGCTGGAGGTTGGAGGTTAAAAGAAGAAACTGTTGGAAAATATGAGGAAAATTAATAAGGGGATGTCCCTTTGCTTTTGCTTTTCTTCTTCCTCAGAACAGCTTAAATTAAGAGGATTCCCTTGATGTCAGACCAGCTCGATTCATTGAGAACTGAGGGGCTTTGAGCTGTTTCTTCATAGAGCTCTGCATCTGAAGTAGTTGGTGTGTGGTCCAGATACCTCGACTTCCAGTGCCGTCTTTTAAAGAGTTAAAACCACTTGTTCAGAATGGGCAGGAGCTTTCAGAACCCTGTCAGGTATACTCTGGGTACTGCAGGTGGATCGACACTTCCCTCTGTGTCCCGTGTGCTCTGTGGTAAAACAGCGTTTCAGTGCGGCTCAGGGGGTGTGCGGCTGGTTATGGCAGCAGAGCCAAGGGAAGCGCCCGGGGCACTTGCCGGGGTCCAAACTGGTGAAGCACAGTGGCAGAATGTCCTTGGGAGAAATTTTGTGATGTTTCCTCAGTGCTACTAAAATAGTTTTAAACCAAAAGTGTCTAAATCACAGGGAAAATAATCGGTTATTTCAGGCTCTGCGCCTTGGGAGCTGCGTTTGGATGGTGGCTTGCAAAGAAAGTGAGAAGCATCTTGCAGTTCATGGAGGAGCTCAACAGAGCGCATTTTCAGAGTGGCCTCATGAGAAGTTTGGCCGAGGGGAGTCCTGGGGCATTGGCAGGACATCCTGAGTTCGTTTTGCTGCATTCAGGCTGGTTTATACCCCTTTTGTGGTGGGGCGGCCGTGGGAACTCAGGGGTGTGAGGCCTGGTCCCAGTGCTCTGCAGCAGCATAGGGGCTGGCTGGTTGACCCCCCCGTTCCCATCTGCACAGAGCTGGGCAGGGCTCCCAAAATATCTCACCGCTGCTGGCAGCGGGGCCAGCGTGGAAACTGCAGTGCTGCGTTCGACGTGAAGCGTGAGGGCCGGTTCCCTTGGTGCGGTGCAGGCAGGTCTGTACGGGAGAACCCAAGGTTTGCAGGGGAGAGCTGGCGTCCCCTGTGCAGTCCTCTTGGATTTGGGATATCCTCCCTCTCTGCCTCACCTGACAGCGGCAGGAGCTAATAGGTTCTTGCTCTGTGGTTGGCACATCCTTACCCAACTGTTCTTCGATTAGCTATATTGGGTAATTAAGCAGGAGCATCTACCCCAGATAGTCATAAAATCAAGAGGTGAGTCCTGAAGATTATGGAACTTAAAATACAAAGTACCGCTGATATTCATTGTGCATGTTTAATCTATTTGCTTACTAGTTTTTCAGCCATAGAGTTTTACTGCTTCAGGCTTCATCTCGTACCACTGCGGGCTAGAAACTTGCTTTGTTTTTTCGAAGCACTGAGGGGAGACATGCAGGTAGCTGACTCCAGGAGATTGGAATTGAAAGGAAACTGTCCTGCAGCAGCCTGGTGAACCCTGAGTGTTTGCAGGACCATGATGGCCCTTTTCTTGACAGTGTGTGAGCGAGATTCCTTCCCCACAGCCCTCATGTTGCAGCCTTTGCTGCACCAAGCTTCAGTCCTCCCCTTTACAAATTTAGGATCGAAGGGGATATTCACCCCGCTTGTGTTTGCATGACACTTGAATAGCATTTGTGTTGTTTTTAGATCAGGGACATGTTCTCTGCATGGGGCAGTGCCCATGCCCCACACATGGCAGGGGGAGCCCTTGGAGTGGCTGCCACAGCCTGGGTGCACCCGTGGGTGCTTCTGCTCCTTTTCCCCCCTTTGACCACCTCTGCCACAGCCTCCCAAGTTAGACCTTCTCAAAAAATGTTCCCTGCCCAGCACTGAGCTGCCAGTGCCCCTACAAAACCATATTCCCTTATGCTTGTGGGAAATCTGTAGTATCGGATCCCTCGGTGGATCCCTGCACGTGGTGGATATGTGCCGGATGGTAGCACATTTTTAAATAATTCGCTGTGCTCTAATCTCCAGCTGGCAGGAGCCAAGTAAACTGGCCGTATACTTTCTGAGCTAAGCTTAATCTTTTATTGTCCAGCCAGCGTAGCTCGCAGAACCGCAAGCTCCATTTTTACCGCAGACACTTGCAAGCACCAAAAGTGGGAATCACTGTTGGTGGAAAGTGCAGGTTTTATGGGTTTCCCCTTTGTGATTTCCATCTAGATGACATCATAAAACGCCACAGGAAAGAGCAAACAGATGCCAGCACCGCAGGGGAGAGGCGAAGGCAGCAGGTCAAGAACAGGAATTTGGCGTATGGGTACGGGCGGCCTCGTTTCCACGCCTGGATGCAGAGGAATTTGCAAGGTAGGTGAGTGCCTTGGGACAGTGGAGGCTTGCCAAGCTGGAAAACACATTTGTGTAACAAAATGCATCTCTTAAATCCTTCTCCTGTCTAATTCCTGTGTGCGTATAAGATGTGCTCGGGCTGTGAATAGCTCTTCTCTCTGCAACAATGGAATATCAGGGCCCTTTCAGAGCATAAATTCATCCATTTCTCTCCCTTCCACCCTCTCATGAATTACTAATTCAAAGTGACTTAATATCTATTCTCTATTCCCTTTTGGCTTTGCATATTTTAATTATGCCTCTTCCTAATCCTCCTTTTCCCAGAACGCACTTAAATTACCCCTTCAGTAACTGTCTTTGATAGCTCAGTTATTGGAGCTAATTTGTCACTTTGCCAACCATGCTATTTTTATGATGAGGTTTTTTATAATACCGAGTGATCACACACTAATCTGTGTTTGGTTCCACTAGCTTCTATCTACAAAACCAAAGTGATCTGCTGCATGAAATGCTATCTCTATCAAAATGGTGCTTTTTTTTTTAAAAAAAAAAATACTGCTATATCACTTCATTGAAGATTTTAGTGACATTTTGCAGCAATGTCTTTACAGTCTTCCCTTGGAGTGCCAGTGGCACATCAGGACAGTGGGATTGCTCAGAGCAATCCTGCTTGTGTCCAATCTGCCTCCCACTCTCATCTTCTCGGTCTCCACCACATATTGCCTTACCAGGAATCGTTCCAGTTCAAAACAGAATGCCCTTTGCAAATTGATTTTTCTGTCAAAAGCACAGGTTTTGATATTCTTCCACACTTAAGCGACTACTGCATGCGGAGTCAAATAAATTGAACAAAGTATTTCTTTTAGCTATTCCTTAGAATGGAGATCTTTTCATTTATAGAATTATTTCTGCTAGTCTTAGTATTTCGTAGGTTTTAACCGAATCTGATTTCAGTCCTGCCAAGTGCAGAGACCCGCCGTGCTGTGTGGTGCTGATGTCAGTGGCAATTTTGGGAAGCTCAGCACGACTGGGAAGTTAGCCCGTAATTCTTCAGGGGCTCATTTCACTTCAGTCTCTGCTGAAGTGCAGTCCCTTCTGGGCTGAGAGTGATAACCATTATCAAAATGACAATCAGAACAGCCTAGCACTGTAATAATGACAGAGGATGGAGAAGGCTATTATGCTGATTAAACCAGCAAGAGAATTCATGCAAGCAATGTGCTGTTATCCCTCTTGGAATATGAATTAAACCATCTCACCAGTGGGGCGATGATGATTTTTAATGACAAGAAATTTGAATTTCAAATCTCCTTGGAAAAAGAGTCTGTCAGACATTGGGCCTTCTCTCCAAACTGGACTTGCTGGGCAGAAGGTGCCTCTTGGCCAACCCAGGTGTGCGCAGCACCAGGCTCTGAATGTGCACCCAAACACGGTGGGGGTCCTCCCCAGCTGCTGATGCCGTGGGGTTTTATTCAAATGTTCTTTCAGTAATAAATACCTGCCAGACTTTTTTGCAGAGATGGAGCCTCCCATCTGCCACACTTCAGGATACACATGACAGACCGAGGCCTTGGTCCCCAGCTGGTGTACACGGGGTCCCCCCTCGGAGACTGATGGCCCCGTCGTTAGTTATTTACACTGGCTGAGGTGTGCCTGAGCGCACCGCTGAGCAGAGGCTCTCTAATAGGAACTGACTGACATGGGCATGATTTTCTAGTCAGAGCTGCCTTTTGCATCAGTCCCTCCCATTGCACCGATGAAATAAATGCCCAGGAAAAGCAGCTGAGCTCAGTCTGTCTTGCTGCAGAGGAGGTTGCCCTCTCCAGGGTGCAGGAGAGATGTGTTGCAAGGCTTGGTGGCCCACGGGAGAGTGGTCTGACAAACAGGCCAGAGAGAAGGACAAGCCCAGGGTGGCTGTTGAAGGGAGCAAGAAAGGGAAAAACAAACTGGAGGGACAGAACCGAGAGGTGACAAAGGGCCATTAAACACAGCGAGACCACATCTGATCAAAAAGACACAGATTGCCAAAATGCAGATGTTTGTGGGGGGAGGGACATTTACACGTCTGCACATCTGAGGTGAGAGGGCATCGTTTGCAAAGAAAATAACTACTGGCCCCACAGAGCTTGTGAGCATTTTTGCAGGTGTTCCCAGGCAGCACCTCTGGCCGACGGGAGCGAGGCACCCCGACGTGCTGTCCGGGAGGTGCTTCCCACGAGCATGCCCTGGTGCCCTTTTGCTTTCGAGGCAGAGCAGCTCAAACCACCTTCCCTCGTATTCCAGTGTAACCAGCACACGGTTGGCACCGACCAGCGTTCCACCCTGGGGCTGGAGCCTTCATTAATCACTGTGGTGGTGGCCCCTGACAGCGCTGTCACCTCTGCCTCAGAACACCTCATGTCTAATTGCTCCGAGTCATTATGAATTGCTGTGAAGTAGGAATCGATACAGGATCAATACGTGTGTCTAACTGCTCTGTGGTTTGTATCGGTGAGGTTCTGCTCTATGGGCCGGGGTTTAACCCCACTCTTGCTGCTCACGGCCACGCACCGCTTTATGCCTGATTTATTCACCCCTCTGACTACGTGTGCACATTTCACTGGTATAGTGACTCAGGAAATGTCTACTTCATTATGACTACAGGAGTTTATCATGTGGAGTAATTGGGCTTTAATGCACTCGCTGTGCCTGTGTCTGACAGAGTGCTTCAGCACACTTCAAAATCATAAACAGGCTTAGGGGAAAGCGTTAAATGCAAGATGGGCTGTTGCTGTGTATGTCCTGTGCAGTTACATAACACAGCAGCAGAAGGTGCCCCCTTCAATATATGCAGTAAGTAAGGATATGTCAAGCTGGAAAAAAAAAAAAAAAAAAAAAATATATATATATATAAATTATGGTCCAGTCTTCACCCATCTAGTGCTCAAATGTAGGCACTCAGAGCCATTCCAGGTTGCTGTGGGGTTGGCTTTCTGATGATTGAGTCATTTGCATATCTGTATCAAAAGGCTTCTTCCATTTCCCAGTGAATTCATAGCAATGTGAGCTCTGACAACAGATTGACAGGTTTCCTGATGTGAGTGTTCCTGCCTTTATGAGGAATCAGAATTGCGGAAGGCTTTCCTGCTCTGTATTCTTTCAAATCAAATAAAGTGTTTGTCAGTCCTACCTATAATAAGAATGCTAATGAGACATTGGAAAAATAAATTATTTAATATTCTGCAAAATTAATTTACTTTCCTGGAATAAATTAAATGTCCTTCTTACATCACTATTTATATAGATACTCCTATATCATAATAAGTTAACCTTGTAATCCGTTTGTAAACCTGCAATTATAAATCACGTTTTGAAGGATGCTAAAATAAGAGTTTCTTTGCATAGGACCTAACCGTTTTAGAAGAGGGTTTGGACAACAGCAATACAATCGGAGACAATTCAGGAATACTGTGCCCGGTCCCAGGAGAAGAGCAGCTGCTGCATTAAATGGAGTGAGCCCTTTAAATCGCCAGGCATCAGCTCAAGAGGTAAGGGGGGTAACAAAGGTACAGCTGTTCCCAAATGTCATGTAAAAATCTGTTGGATTTTATGATCCTGGATTACCCCAAAGAACAATCTACATAAAAAATTTACCGACACTATCTTCTGTGTGCCTGTGCGTAGCATTTGTATGCATAGCTGAGTACAGACACGTATACATATAAAATAGCAATTTTCCAGTTGGTTTTGTAAGTTTATGACTTGGCATAATTTTGATGAATCAATTCCCTTGGGTTTTACAGAAAAGATTTTTAAAAAATGTGTTCTTAAAAGATTTTTAGATATTTCCATAAAAACAAACTCCATGCCATCTCATCTTACTGTTATCATTTAGAGGAGATATGTTAAGATTCACCATTATTTACCCTCCACCCAGAGCATTTTCCAAGGTCCAGTGAAGTCAAAGGACAGCCTGTTGTTGACTTAAGGTGACTTTGGTTCAGAGACATACTTTTCACTAACAGGTGGGTATCCCCCCCGCACGAGACACTGATTCCCAGTACTGTGACAGCCATGGGTCAGACTGCCCATGTGCTTCAGTGTAAAATGCATTTTTTTTCATTCATGGCTTTCCCTTTTTTAAATTTAAATGTTTAGGTCTTGTCTCTGCTCAAAAACACTTTTAAAAAAAGATGAAAATATTTCATTTGCTTTCTGAGTTATTTTTAAGACTCAAGAGATGGGAAGGAAGGTACGTGGTCAGCGTTAAAGTAATTCTTACAGCTTTCTTCTGAGCGTCACTAATACTAAACTGGCTTGGTGTAGAAAGTGGAAATCAAGCAAGTCCTCTGCGAGAGGGGGTTGGTTTCTTCCACACTGATGGAAAGACAATCAAATAGGAGGGCACATATGCTCAGCAAGCTTTTAAAAAACCACCAAAGTGGCGAACATGATGGCACATTTAATGGCTGTGTCCTGGGGGTCTGAATAAGAGAGCCCTAAACTGAGCGTGCGTGTGCGTGGAGTGTGGTTATTCCTGACAATAAAGACTGCGATGACTCAGATAGTGAATGTGGCTGGGTATGAACGGAAAGTAATAAGCAGTTGCTAGGAGGCATAATTCTATGGTAGCTTCCATTTTGCAGAAATAAACCAAGTGGGAAGAATGTGGAAACACATCTCAGTTACTGGGTAGTAACAGTGATGGTGGTTGTCCCACAGAAATAAATGGGACAGAGTCTGTGGCGGTTTGCTGAGCGACTGCAGGAGGTCTGAGGGGTCTTCTGATCTGCCTCGTGCTTCAGGGCTTGGACTTGGCAGCGTACGAGACCAAACAGGAGAGTCAATGACCAAAAAGAAACCTGAGCAAAGCTATAATGCTTGGCTTGTGTGAGATATGCTCTCCGTGGACTAATTTTTTTTGGTACTTCTGCCCCATTAGAATGAAACATTCTTCCTGGTACTTGTAGTTTCACGCCCAGGAACTGAGGCACGCATACTGGTTGTTGACAACGGTGTATATTAAGTCTAAATTTGAGACCACAGCAACACTGCTCGGTGGAAATATTCCTGCCATAGATACAAAAGACCATGGAAGTGACCAGGTTTTAATAGGTTTAGCGAGGAATCTGTTTCCTGTCGAGAAAGTATCAGAGGAGAAGGGAAAAAAAAAAAAAAAAAAAAAAAGCACTTGCAGAGCAGGGTTGCTCTGTTGCAAGACTGCAGAAGTTGCAAAGGAAAACTAGTTGGGAATGAGAATACAGGGAACGCAGAGCACACAGCGCGGGGCTGAGCCCCCCCCGGTGAAGCAATTGCAAGTGGCACCGAGTGTGTCTGAGAGTGGCGAGGGAACCGCTGCGGTGTCAGCAACCGCCACCTGCACGTCAGAGCAGGCTGGCTTTCCCTCCGGACAGAACCAAAGAAAATGCCAGATAAATGCACCGGCTTTCCAGGCCGTGGCAGCGGGGGGGGGGAAGCCCAGTCGCCTGCTGTCGCTCCCGCTCAGTCCCGGTGGCAGGGGCTGAGCTCTCGCCTGCTCTTTCAGGGCGACCAGAGCAGCGATGCTTTCTCCAAAAGCAGCAGCGGTGGGCAGCCAGAGGGACGGCGACGGCCACCCCCCGGCCCCAAGAGATTCAGAGCAGCTGCTGCCAGCACCCACGCCCCAGGGAGAAGGTAAAATCTTTGGTAACTTGGGGTTTTTTGGGGTTTTCAGCGATGGCTTACGCGGCTCCTGGGGCTCCGCTCTCGGTCTGTGCCAGCTGGGAGTGGCTACGCGCGCGCGCTCATGTAGGGTGAGAAAAACACCCCTGGGTATGTTAGGAAAGCACCTGGAAATAAAACAACCTTGTGCTGATAGTTAACAATTCAGATATTAGATCTGTAATTTCATTTTAGAAAGCACAGAAAATATGACCTTTGTGTTTTTATTAAACTCTGTCACTTTGGGGAAAGCTTTTGAATGGTGAAGTAGCATTTCTTTTCATAAAGGCAGAAATACAGGTTCTGGCTGCAAGGGACAGGCAGGGAGAGGGCGTCTGTCCCGGTGAGGGGTGGCAGAAGCAGACGCTGTGCCCCAGGAGCTGGGATGAGGGCAGGCTGCTGGGCGCCGGGCACAGGCTTGCTGCAGGTCTCCTTGCAGTCCTTGTGTTCTCCGAGCTCCAGAGGAAGCTCCGTTGCAATCCCCTCTTTCTCTGCTCTGAGTAGAGCAGGGACTGAACGACCTCCAGAGGTCCCTTCTGACCAGTTTTTTTTTCTGCGATTTTCTTACTTTTTTTTTTTTTTTTTTTTTTTTTTTTTTTTTTTTTTTTTTTAAAATGAGCGGAGTTCAGAACAAAGACGGGCTCTTGTTTCATTCGAGCAGAAAAAGAGTTCCTCAGAAATCCTTTACTGACAGAAAACCCTGTTGGGCTGAACATGGTAACACACAGCCTCCTTTGCTTCTCATACTGTTTTCTAATACCACACTGGGTTAGGTATTTCAGCATTAAACTTTAGGAGAGACCTGGCATCACACTCACCTCACCTATGTCCTTTTCTCTCTCATCCTTTACCAGCCAGCCTTTCCTGCTAAACAGAGGACCAGCCTTCCAGCAGGAGCGGGTGCAGCAGCGGTTCTCCAAAGCAAACTTTCAGAGAGGGGTCAGTATCGAGACGTTTTTTTTCTACAACCTGCTGATGGTGACAAGCCTTCAGTTTTACCAGCCTTTGCCCAGTTGAATCTTTGCTTCCAGAAGTAACTGGGAGAGATGGATGACTTTGGCAATGAATATATTCCTAGGAAAGTATTTGCAGGACAGGCTTTTAATGCAGCTTAATATTCTGGCAGCAGGAAAATAAAATCTGGGCAGGTATAAAAGTAAGTCTTGCAGCTTATACAGCAGCACAAACAAGGCAAAGTAAAGCGACCCCATAAAGATCACTGTGCCAGCAGAAGACCCAAAATTAGCAAATTTCTTGACAATGTGCAAGGAAAGAGCTATTCAGATACACCAAATGAAATACTGGAAAAGGAATTGTTGTTTCTGAGAGCTAACTCTTTAAGTCATTTTTTTAAAAATATATTTCACAGCAGATGGATGCTAATGGAGAGGGGAAACCACCAAGGATGAGAAGGTAATTGGTGAACAAAGGCACGCTGCAGACACGACATGCTCTTTCACACTCGAATCGAAACTGGATGCGTCTCCCTGTCTCGGCAGGTGGCAAGTGAAGCCCAGCCCTGGAGCAGTTCTGACGGTTTCTGTGGCTAATCCCCAGGCGGGCCAGACCAGCGCGTAAGTAAATGAGGTGACTAGTTAGGATGGGAGCCCTACAAAAGCCACTGCAAATCCCTTTAGCGTTACGGCAGCTTCGCCGCTTCTATAAGGAGCGTGCAAAGAATGGTTCAGACCCCTGGGCTGAACTGGGGCAGCTGCAGGACCCAGCACCCAGCCAGGGCCAGGAAGAAGGGTGGGTGAGGGTGCTCGGTATGTCCTGGGCTCAGAGGACACCCCACGGTAACCTTGATGTGACGCAGCCCCCGGTGCTGGAACTCTGCCTACACAGCAGCTCTCCTGGCAGCCTTTAGACTCAGCCACGCTGCCGTGAGACACGCCACGGGACGTGCGGGGCACGCGGGTGCCTCCTTCACTCCTTGCTGGCTCGCAGACAGTGGGAAGCAAGCTGCCTTCGCATCCCGAGTGACCGCAGGCGTGTGCTCTCCCCAGGCCCGGATCCAAGCGCCCGTTCCTGCGAAGCCGGAGGCCCCCGCCGCGGGCGGCCAAGCCCCAGCCCAAGGGGGTGCTGCTGAGGTTCAACTTCCGTGCGATGGCCAACCAGGTAGAGGATTGTCGACGGGACAGGCGGCACCTTGTACCCTGCAGCAGCCCTGCCACTAAGCTGTTAACGTCACGCTCAGGTTTTGGGGGCTGCCGGTTGGGTTTACCTAGCATAACCCAGGAGGAAGGTCCCCTAGCCATGCTGGCTGGGTTGCTCACCACACTGAAGGCGCCCGAGAAGACTGCTCAGCAATTACAAACTCAGCCCAATTTTCCCCAGTCTGTTGGCCCCTCTTGGCCTGTCCATGCACTCGCTTGGAGCAGGGAGATTCTGCTTGTGAGCAGCCCTGGCTAGGGGGGACCATTTTGCTCTCGGTGCTCCCCACTCCTCAGAGGTACACAGCACTTCTGGGCTTTGCTCTCTCTCTGCTTTGGTGACCTTCTCAGTGCCACATTTTTCGCTGAAGTATGGCCCAAGAGCCCCTGGGCAGGTCAGAAATCCTGCTCCAACCTTCTTCATTGCCGGTGTTTCTTGTCTGGACGGTTTGGTTTTACTTGATGCCTTGTGCTCAAATGCCATCTGCTTGCTCCTGTTCTTGCTGAGGATGCCCGGTGTCTTGGGGCTGGGCGCTGCTTGGAGTTTTTCCAGCCACACACAGTCTGTCAAGCTCCTTGTCTCCGTGTGCTGAGTGATTTAATTGACTAACTGGCTGTGAAGCACCGTTCTGACTGATGGGCTCTAATCAATACCCTGCTACAACTTTGGCCGTGCTTTGCCACGAGATGTGGGACTGACTCGCTCTCCCTTTCCCCTGCAGACCAGCCTGACAATGGATGAGAGGTTCTCTGGTCTGAGGAATAAGAGGCGCTTTGCAGCAGCCAGGAGCGCCGGCCGGACAGTCACCATGCCTTAGCACCACATGCTTATCACAGGGACTGCCCGTAACAGTCCAGGCCCCGAAACGGGCAGCTCAATAAAACTCGGTAGATTTCCTCTGAGATATAGCTAATTTGGCAATGTGCCGTCTACTTCCTTACGTGCAGAATGAGTGAGCGATGGAGGGCAGGGATGAGGCAGGACGAGAGTAGAGGCCGAAGCCCGGGGCAGGTGGGGTGTGAGCGGGGCGGTGGAGCGGGATGAGCAGAGATGGGTTTGCTGGGAGCGCTCTGCCGGGGAGCCGCGGGGGTGGCACCGGCCCTGTCCCCCCAGCTAGGGCACCCTGTGCTGCCCGGGGTGACTCCTGCGAGAGCGGCGGGGGGGGGGGGGGGGGGGGGACCAGCTCTGAGCCAAACCTGTGGAGCCTTCCCCGTGTTGCCCCTCGGGCGGGACAGGGGTGAGGACACTGTCCCTGCCCGGGGGGGAGGCAGAGCGGGGAGGGGAGCGTGTGCGGGGCTGAGGGCCGTGCCCGGCGGTGCCACCAGCTCCAGCTGCTCACGTTCCCCAGCGTCCACCTAATCGCCCGATTCGTTGTGCGTGCAGGCATCTCTTCCCCGGAGGTTTGCAGTGTAAGACCCCTCTCCATCCTGAGAATGTCTCCCTCTGCCGCGATAGTCAGGCCTGAGCACATTTCTCTTTGGTTTGCCGTGCTGTTCTGACTGCTGCTGCGGTTGCAGGGACGGGGTGAGACGTGCCGTGCCGAGCCACCGGCGTGACTGTCCTTGGCGGGGAGCACAGAGGCGGGCTGCCCCAGCTCGAATCGGGTTTCCCAGTGCTGCAGTAGTTCTGCATTAGGGATTTCGTAGGTGCAGCTCCACCCGTGCTCAGAGCAGCGGCGTAACCGAACTGGCAGCTGCAGGAGGGAGGCCAGGCTCTACAGCAGCCCGATAAATACTGGCTGAGATGTTAATGAGTGGGGTCTAGACCTTTGTGAAGGAAGCCCTGCAACAACCGTGAGTCACTGATCCATTCTCCACCCCTGGCTGCAACCCAGCACTGAATGCACTGGACACAGCCTGTTACTGGGCTCTAAGCTATACTTATTAAAGTAAATATGTGATAGACTGCTTTACATTTTACACCAAGCGTCTTTAACAAGTGACTGGACTTGGCGTTGGTTTTACGGGAATGTGTGAAATGTTGTTAGTTGACAAAGCCTTGATGTACGAGTCCAATGCACTGAATAAAAAACTAACCTGTCAAATGTTATGTCCGGTTATTTCCCTTCCTTCAACAGGCTTTTGGTGCAAGTTCAGCCTCTCGGCATGGCACAGTGTGCGTGGCGCTTGGGGGAGCGGGCACTGGCCTGGCCGTGCAGGCAGTCTGCTGCTCACAAAGCATGCTCCAAAGCACAGCCAAAGCAGTGAGATGTTTGCAGTAGGTATTTTGTAAAATCTGTGCTGTGATCTCTTTTGCCTTTAACATTATCAGCTAAATTATCAGAGCAGACCCGGCCCTCAGGATGTCCAAAGTGAAGCAAGCGCAAACTGACTTCCAGGTTAATGAACTTGGAAAAAGGCATCACCCTTCATGCAAATAACCTGGCTGTCGTGGAAGATGAACAAGAAACACCTTCACAAATGGCCGTGTCCCTGATTTCAGTTGCACCTTCACTATAAATAGTGACAAAAGATGGCAGACTCGCTCAGAAAACCTGATCACATCTTAAACCAGGTTGCAAAGGGCTGGAGCCTCTCCGTCCTGAAAGAGCAGCTGAGTGTGCAGCATTGCCTTGGTGTTCAGAGCACGCCCTGATGCTATTCTCCAAATAGATTTCAGCAGTCTGTACCTAACATTTTTTTAGGTATTCCTTCAGTTAAAATTGAGGGCTTAATGATAAAAACTAAACTTTCTAGTTTGATTCCCCCCACAGAGCTGGGTGACTTTGCATGCAGCAAGAGACGAAACAGGCTTTGCGCAGAAGGGCACTGAAGTAGCAAAAAAGCATAACCAGCGTGCTAAAAACATACTGGGAGAGAGCACAGGGTCAGTTCACTCCAACAGGCAAAAAATACCCCTTTCTGCCACAGTACTAAAACCACAGAATAATTATCTCTAAAATTATCCCAGCTGTCATGCACAGGGTTGGCTGCAGCACGGGGCATCTTTGGGGAGGGTGCTTGTGTGCCGCAGTTCGGCGTGCTGCTTCAGCCATCTCCTGGCAGATGTGTTTGTCCAGTGGGGCCGTTTCTGACGGTTCCATGGTGGTGCCCAGTGACACACTGGTGGCCTGGTGGTCCCCAACCCGCGAGGGTGGCAGCAGCTGCCTGGTGGCCGAGCCCCCCAGGGAAGGGCAGACGGTGCAACCCAGAAAACATTTTTTACCCTGTTTCAGGCCATCCAAAGCCATCTCCAGGATAACGCCTCTGAGGGTGTCTGAGAGGTTTAAAAATGTAGGAGCAACTGTACAGGGTCAGGAAGGGGTCCCCGGGGGGGTGGGGACACCAGCACACGCGTGTGGCCCCGTCGGTCACTGCGCTGAACCCGCAGCACTGCTGATTTCTTTCTGTAGCCACTTGTTCCGTTGTGTTTAACAGCATTTGGTGGGGCTTTCTTCCACTATTGCTTTTTGCTGTTTGCTTTCTGTCTATCTGTCTGTGCCTCCAAAGGCTGGTATTACAGGTGAATATTCATTCCTTTGCAATTTGTAGACCCGCGCTGTGTTCTCCCTTGCTCACTTTAACTCTAGGAGAAGAGACTCAGTGTATCTACTTGTCCACTGCCTGGAAGCCGATCCGTTCCTCTGGTCACCTTTGTACCTTTGCTGGCTCTGCTGCATCTGCCTGAGGCAGCAGGGCTGAAGCAGACGTGATATGTGAGATGGATTTATAGGAAGACTCTGCTTTGTTTTCTGTTCCTCTCCTAATAATTCCGAACATTCCAGTTGCTTTCTAATCCAGAACAGCCACTTGGAGTGGGAAATGGTAAGGCATGTTTATATTGGTTTAATGAAACAGGTTTCCAGGGAACTTTTTCTGTAGAAGCTGGTCTTGCAGCCTGGTATTTGTGGCAGAGAGGGCACCTGGAAGGGCTGGCTGCGAGAGGATGTGCCCAGGGGTCCACTTTCCCATCTAAGCTGATGTCCAGTGTTTTCTTATCTGTTCACAGGATTTTTTTTTTTTTTTTGATGCTAAAAGCTGCCTTTAATGAGCTTAACAGATAGGGGGTAGAAGGCCAGCTTTCCCCTTTTGTCAGTTCCTGCCGATTTTAGCGTTGGATGACCAGGAAGAGATGTGCACCAGGTTACTCCTCAGTATTTTAGGGCATATATATTGCCAAGCTAGCACAGGGCAGGGCCCCAAAGCGGTGCCCCAGGAGCAGTGTGGCAGTAGGAGACTCAAGAATAAAAATAGGTGGTTTGGGGCAGACCCATTGGTCAAATCCATCCTGGCAAACAAAGCAGCAGCCCAGGCATCACACATGGGGCTGCCAGTTCCTCCTGCATTGCACAGGGCTCCTTGTGCCAGCATTTGTCAGACTGGCTGCAGAACGGAGTCGGGCAGGGCACAAACTCGCTGCCCAAACTTGAAGGTGCACGGGGAAGCATCGGTGGAGCCTGCTGTCAGCAGCAGGGAGCTGTTAATTTTTAGGGGTCCTCAGAGGGATTCAGACAGCCAGAAACTACAGGCGAAATATTTAAACAGAAACCTGAGATCCAAACAGGATCTCGTGCAATGCAGTTCGCTCCGGGGCTGGGATAAACTGAGCTACAAGCAGAGCATTTGCCAGGCAGCAGCCCAGTAGAGAAGGGAGTCATAACAAGCTGAGAAGAGACATGCAAGCCCTTAGACTGAAATGGAAGGGGTGCCCCAAACTGGACCCCAGACATCAAAACAGCCTGGAGGGGGGAAAACAGTCTGTGGAAGGTTGAACAGTGCTTTATCAACTAACATTTTCAGAAATCTAATTTCATTCCTGAACAAACCAGCATACTACCCCAGCACAGCACTAGGTGAGAAAAGGATGTGGAAAAGTGCTACAAACCTGAAGGATTTACCACAATTTCCTAGAAGACCAGAAACACTAACAGCAGCCCCCAGACAGCACCAGGCAATCCCGGTCCTTCCAGTTGAGGCGTTGCAATGGGCAGGACGCCCGGCTTTCGTGTCTGGCCCTGCTCCGAGCCAGAGTTAGCTTTGTCAGGAACCTGTGCCCCACACTAGGTGCACAAGCTCGGCTCCTCTTTCTACCCTGGAAAAGCGATAGCCTCTTCCAGACATCAACTCACGGGCCTTTAACTTCTGTTTACAAGACAGTTATTTTTCCCCATTGCTGGTTTCATTCACTGAAGTCTTATTCCCACTGTTCATCTGGATCAACATTGACCATTTTTATAGGCAACATAACATAAAGTACTAAAATGTGGAGGCAAGAAGAACAAAAATATCAGATTTGGTCCACTCACCACCAAAGGTTTAGGATTGAGTACTAGGCCATGTCCTAAAGCAGATCCTTCCTAGCTATGTCAAGACTGCTGCCAGCTCTCATGATTTTACTGAAAGTCCTGTGATGTTTAATGATGCAGTTAAAACCCTGGTTCCTGGAGGCATGTCAGGAGGTGAAAATCTCAGCTTGCCTGTATTAAAAAGTCAATTTGCAATGCTGTGGCTGTGCAGGGAAGACCATGACCCAAGAGTAACTTAAATGCCTGGACATCAGATGCCAAAATAACAAGAAACCTCTTATTTTTTTTTTTTTAATGTCATATTCCTAAGTCAACCTCGTGATGTTTGGAGCTTGACTCATGACTCTGAAATGCTCAGAGCACACTGCTGGACCAGGATTAATCCACAGTCGCATCTCATTGTGAATGGGAATCCCTGTGCCACCGCCAGCGTTCGGAGACCTTTGTCCCCACCTCCCCCATTGCAGCAGCACTTTGTTGCGCTGCAGTAGGAGCCCCAGCTTGTTGCAGAAGCACATACGCCTGAGAGACAGGAGGTTTGCTCTTTCCATAAGTCAAGACTGGAGAAGAGGATGTTCATCTCTAAATCACACCGGGCTGCAACTATTAACCCTCCTCTTAGCAGGCTCCAGGAGGAAGATGACGGGATGCGGGCTCCCCTCCCTGTGCAATGATGAGCAACGGCACTGTCACTCTCTGGCCTCCCATCCCTGGAGGTTTGAGTCGGTCCCTGACCCCGGCCGTGGATCGAGGAAGTGTACTGTGGGGTGACCATGGAGTATGTTGACTGGCAAGACCCCCACGGGGAACCCAAGCTGGGGTGGGAAGCAAAGCCAAGCACCAAGGAGGGAGGGAGGCTGCTTTATGCTCTCTAAGAGTTTATTTGCAGCTGATAATGTCTCCCCCAGCTGCTCCAGGAACAAAGTGCTTTGTCATTCCTGCTGAGAGTGTTCGTAAACCTATTGGACCCTACTGTGTTACTAGCAATGCCAGGAAGGGGTGAAGCTCTGCACGTGTTTTGTCCTCCCAGTGACTGTCACTGGAGAAATAAGGGGCTGCCAGAGCCAAGGGTTTGGCAACCCACAGGCACCCCCAGGACCCGGGGCAGGCAGGTTCTCCCTCCACTTCTGCCAGGGGGGCATCCAGCACCCCCTGCTCTGAAGACCTTTCCTAGCTTCAGTTTTCCAGCCTGGATGAGGCTGTGGTCATCTCTGCCCATTCTTGAGTCAGCCTTATCTGAGTCAGCTGAAATGGCTTTCCCCTCCCCACTGTCCTGTCCTGTGTCCCCCCAGGAGTGTATCTAGGCAGAAGTCCCCTCCCAGCCTGCCTTTTGCTGAGCACTTGCAGTTGCCTCTTTCAGCACAGTTCTCCCAGCTCTATTAGGAGCCCTTCTCAAAACCCACAAATGGAAAATTCCCAGTCCTAACATCCCATGCTCAAATGCACCGGAGCTGAATAAGTTGTCTCACCTCTGAGATATGAGGAAGGCTACTGCTATAGATGGACAGCCCTTTGATTTTTGAATTTTTCACAGCTTCATGCAAAAAACCACGTCATGGATATCCTGGCAGAGCACCGAGACCTTCACTCACTGAACGGCTCTCCCGCTGCCATGCAGGGACCTCACCTCTCCTCTGTATCGTACCACGGAGCGCAGCTCTGCTGGGGAGCAACACTTCCTAATACTACCAGTCAAGGCAGAAATATTTGATACCAGCCACTTTTGCACCACACTAAGTTGGCCTTGCCAAGGAGGCATCTGCAGGAGCTCCCAGTTTCACCCCTCCTCTGGGCCTGCA